GAAATACGCGACATGCGCCGCCGCGCAGAGCGCCGAGTGAGCGGTCATTCATGAATTGACTCGTCTCTCCCGCTCATCGTTTATTTATATACTAGCCGACACATAAGTCATCGTCGCCGTCGCCGTCGCCACCGCCGCTGCCGCCGCATACGATCACGGTGCAACGACGCGATGCGATGCGACGCGACGCGAGACGATGCGATGCGAGACGAGACGAGGAGAAACGAGGATCGCGCGTCGCGCGACATTTTCTCATTAATTCCGTAGGAGCACGTCCGCGGATGACGATAACGGTCGATACCATCGTATCAGGGACGATCACGCGGGGGCGGGAGAACGAACGAGCGGGTGGGCGGGCGGCCGCAAGGTCGCCGGATGTAGCGCGCGCACGTACACCGGAAGCGGAGCCGCGTGCAAGGTGTGAGTCTCCCTCCCCTTGCCGGTCGTCGGTTGATCCGCGCGAGAAGTGCATGTGCTACGCGATCGCGTGGGAAGAATCGAGAGGGAAGACGCGCTTTGAGAGCAGAATAGGAACGCAAGAATCCGCCGCACGCGACTCGGAAATGTCGACGAATGAGCCATATCCGTCCTTTTTTTTGGATAGAAATATGTATATCTGATATAAGGACAATAGATAGTGAATCTTTTTTTTATTAAGAATTTTATTAAGAATAGCGCTTGCTAAGCAAAATAATAATTCGTGGACATTATATTTTTTTTTTTTTTGGTCGAATAATTTCTAATCGAAATTACAAGATTTATAAGATTTAATCGGGAAAACTGTCGAAACTAACAAAGAATAAGGCTTGGAACATATTTTAAATATTATGTTCAAGAAATAGTTGCCGTACTCTATTATCTTCTTTTTTTCCTTCTGTCCTATGGCTAACATTTTGTTGTTAATGCTGTATTATGTTAATATCCAACAGCTTTCTGATAATGTTTCGTTAAGCTAGGAAATTAACAGAAAATTAGTCTTCAACAATCATAATGAAAACAGACTGTTTAGGGGTATTATTTTAATTATCTTTAAAATATTAAAAAATATGTACATAATTCGTCCGGTTCGATGTTTTTCCTAATATCTCTGTGATTCCGCGTAAGTAAATGTCACTGCGTACGAATAATTTAACTCTCAAATAATTTTCAAATAATTTAATTTTTTCACGTTGTAGTCTGCGAACCTCAATTATAACAACAATGATGTAATCATCGATCGATTACTCGCTTCGAGATGACGACAGGGATGACGGTCGAATAGAACTATGACGTGATACGCGATACGTTCGCGCGACTTGGAAAGGAGAAAGCCAATACGATCCAGAAACGGCCGCCTCATTATTTTGGCTATTCGCGGACGAGATGATGATGATGACGTTGCGACGCAACGACGCGTCGAACGTCGATGACAACAGTCATCGGTAACAGTTCTCGGGGCCGGATGTCGTCGACCGCTGATTTCCCGGAGTCCGCGATGCGGGAACGCATTCCGGGTGGAATCGTCAAACAGGAAGTTGTTTCACGCTAATGCAGCAGTATCTTCGCTAGGTGTTTCCCGGCTCGCATGCGCGAGTCGCTTACACGCGGCCTAGAGTGCATTTACCGTTTCCAACGCGACGCGACACGCGAGGAGAGGAGAAATCAGAGAAGGGGGACGGCCGCCTTTGCTCCCCCTCCCGTCGTCGCCATGGCATGCGTGCGAGCGCGTGTGCGTGTATGTGGGCGCACGCCATCACGACGACGACGATTCGCCACCGACGGATAAATGCGAGCCGACCAACCGGATAGAGCATTCTACGTTTATTACTGCCGAATGCATTAAATCGCGACGTCGCGGGTCAACACACGCGATTGACGTCAGAACGCGACGCGACGGCTTCGCGAAAGCGACACCGATGCTCGCGAGATGATACTCATATAACTCTTACATAATACACGTTTCTCGCAAGTTTCTTTTTCTTCTTTTTTTTTCGTTTCTTCTCCCGTAATGAGAATATCGAGGTACGAAGAATTTCCGAATTAGAGCTGAGTATCACCGAGCTTCAATTTTCTTGGTATTTTAATTCTGACCGTTTTTATCACAAGCATAGATAATATCAAAAATAGAAGAATCACAGGAAAGCTAATCTCCTCTTCTGAAAGCTGAATCTCTCCTCGTTTTACCTTCGCGAAGATAGATGATGAAGATAAAAAAAAGTTATTATCGAATCATATAGCGAAAATATCGTGTAGCGCATCCTGGGGTGGGCATCCTGAGATCCATCGGATGCTGATACAATTGTCAGAACTTTGAAATTTGTTTTCGGAAACTCCTTGAAGAAGAGCCAAAACTTTATGAATTACGTTACAGTGTTACACGTTTTAGCACACGTATATATCATCCCAGGACTCTCTCGTGTGTCCTTAGAAGGACCCGCCTTCCCCCAGGACTAAATATATACTTCCCCTCTATCTCTTTGCCGCGCGCAAAAATTTTCGATACACCACCACCTTGCGCACCGCCCGACTTCCGGTCGATAAAACGCATTCTCTATAGAGAACCCGTAGTTGCACACGAGCCGACACATGTCCCGCTTTTCGGGCACGATAATAATGTCAATATCAACGATAGACGTCCGGTTTTGTCTCGCTCGCTCGTTCATTCGCTACCAGGGGAACGCTCCCTCCTTTCTGCTCCTCCCTCTCCAGCGCAACATCATTCCCCTACCGCGGCTTCGTGCACGATTTTTAGGTTAGGTGTGCGCACGTGCGAGCTCCGTTCTCGCGCCTTTATCACTCGTTTTTACGCACGTTCACCCGGAGAGACGGTTCCCCGCGAACCACGTGGGCGGACAAGTGTCATCCCGCGGATCGTGGTCGGAAATGTATGATGGCAGAGCGGAAGGGACGGCGGAGAGGGGAGGAAGGAAGAGGAAGAAAGGGGTCACGCAGTTAAGCGTGCATAATATTTCACCGAAGGATCTGTTTACTTGGCACGAGACGCGCTGCCATCGGGTTCCCTCCCCTGGGAAAGTTTTGCCGTCAAGTCGATAAATTTGTGAAGAGTTACGTGAAGAGTTACGTGAAGAGTACGCGAGATGCAGGAAACCCTGGACGCCCGCGACACGATTGACCGAACCTGTATCCTTTAAATCCTTCGGAGCTTAGGAAAGTTCACAGACCTTCGAGGCGAAGGCATTGCCGTACTAATTCCGGAATAGCTGTATAAATCTCTTCGAAGCTCTCTTCCGCCCTCCCCCCCCCTCCATCTCTCTCTGTCTTTCTGTTCACGAAAGTCGATGAATCTTTTTGAACGAGAAGCAAAGTTGTAAAGAGCGAAGTTTCGGATAACCGAGAAATCCAAGACTTGTACAAGAATTGGCAGCGCTTATAAAATATTAAAATCGAAATTCTCTCTTTATTCCCCCCCCCTTCCCGAGATTCTAATACCCTGGAGATTTTTATAAGCCCGGCGATCGTGGAAATTCGTACAGGAGTCGATGGGATTTTCTTGTAGCACAGCGAAATAGATGAATGAACGTAGTGGAACTTTAGACCTGTCGTGACCCTCAGGTCAACTTCGTTACGTGTGAGCGAAGAATATGTTTGCGGAGATAAAAATATTGTTCTCTAAACGCGAAATAATCTTTAAATTTTAAGATCTTTTATATAGAAGATTTCAAGACTTTCCTGGCAATCGATTCTTTCTTGAAGAAATGTCTGACGTTTACGAAATGTCAAGTAAAAACATCACTTGTCAGATTTAATAATTTTTGTGTTCCGAGATAGTTGCTTCACTTTGCACTCCGAAGGGAAAATGAATTTTTCTTGACTAGAAAAGTGCAGCGTGGTCTCGGACTCGTCAATTTCCGACAGCCAAATTACACCAAAATTGGCAATATCTGCGAAAGGCAAAAGGTCATCCTCTAAGTTTAATCCTCGAATTCCGAGATCCTTAAATATTGTACTACCATGTGATATACATTTTCTTCAATCTCAATTAAAAAAATGTAGTATGATTTCGGGCCTTTCGATTCTATTCCAACTTAATTATAAGAAAATTGGGATATCTTTTCAAAAGAGAAAAAAAGCACCGTTCTCATAATTCTCGAGCATAATTCTCGAGAGATTCAAACATCTTATTTCAAAATCAAGATGAATTTTTTTTCAACATTTATTCATCATTGCGATCTTGGATTCTTCAATCCTCGAATTCTAAAATTCTCAAACATTGTATATTTCAATGTTCAGTAAAATTTGCTGTAAAAATTTTTCAACAATCTCTCTTAAAAATGCAAGATTTGACTTCATTGTCTACTTCTACTAAATTTAATTTATTTTTTTTTTCTTAAAATTAGAAAAAGTTAAAATGTGAATTAAACCGAGATTAATTTACATTGATAAAACTGGACATAGAAGAATCGAACCATTGACAATATTTGCAACAAAACGGAAGTTTCGCGTTTAACAATTTAAAGTCTGAATCTATAAATTACGATCTAAAGTTGTGACGAAATTTGTGCAGAGTTTTGACTAAAAATTTAACGCGATTTCAGATCCTTCACGATCCTGAAAGCGGAATTTGATATTTTACGACCTGAAATCTGTCATCATTTTTCAAGAATCATTCACTGACTGTCGAATGTCATTTTATTTTGTATGTTTACATATACATATACATATATAAACATTTTATTTTTATGCTCCGCCTAACTGTTTGTTTACTGTGTTCCATTTACTTTGCTCTATTGTAGATAAACATTACAGTAGCTGCTTGGTTGATATCTCATTTTTCGCGTGCTTATCTTCCTCATTCATGCTCTCAGTCATTTATTTATCTTGTTAAAGCCCATCTTTCACGCAATTATTACTATTATTCTCGAATTTCTTTCCGCGCGCAAAAGCTGGAGGATCATCCGTAAAACTCACAACTTCGGAAGCCCTCGTTTCCCCCCGATTTTAAGAGGATTCGCTCTCGAGACTGATGAGAAAAAGGATGAGACACGGGGACGTCGTCGTACCTGTTCCCGAAGCGCTCTTTCCAAAATTCAGCCGCGTCCGCCTTGGTGATGCGAAACTGATCGCCGGCGAATACTCCGTTGGGAAATATGGCCTTCAGCTCGGACAGCATGTGGCTGAACACGAGGCTGAGTTTGGTGAGGTTACGACGATAATGGGACGTCTCGTCAAACATCTTCTCCTTGCCCTCCTTGAACAGCTTGATGGCCTGCTTGCACTTACGCATCAGGTTGTTGATGAACACGCAGAAGTGCTCGTTGCTGTGCAGCACCTGCATGCGGTCCTCGTACTTGCTGTAGATGAGCCGCAGTCGCTGATACGTGTCCGGCAGGATGTCGAGGATAAACGGCGGCGAGTTCTTCAGGTTCATGCGCTGGTGCTGGCAAAGCTTCACCACCTTGTCCATCAGCTTCCAGGTCTTGTCGAGCGTACGCTTGTCAGTCGAGAGCTTAGGCGGCGTCATCGCGTCCGCGAAGCGGCCGTGCAGCTTCTGGAAGATCGAGCCGATGTGGACGGCGCGAGTGCGACTGCTGTGTCCGGACGACGACATCTTGACGGACGTGAGTGCCCGCTTTGCGTGCCTGCGTGCGTGAATGCGTGTCCGCCTCCGTTAATACACGGAGGATCTTTTCCTCTCGTTTCCGTTTCTCCTATCCGAACTAACACACTCGCGCACCTCGACTTCTCTTTCTCCCTTTATTCTCACCTCACACCCTACCTGGCGCGCGGTGGCGGTGGCGGTGGTGATGGTGGTGGTGGCGGCGGTGGCGAGCACTCGCGCTATACTTAAGGTTAACCCGCACACACACACGGCGGAGCGATAGATCGGCACGCGCATATCTCAGCGGGACGCGGGCACGGCCACGACAACGTCCCCACAAAGTCGCGGACACGGGATGCAACGCCGAAGTCTCGCGCGGTACCGCATCCTATCTTTATCTTTCCTTTGCACTCTTTCTCTCTCTATTTCTATCTCCCTCTTTCTCGATCACCGATTGACAATTGCAATCAAGCCGAATACTCCGCGGGACGAATCTAACGACACTGACACAGAGTGCGAGCGGGACCAAACGTGAGCGTACCGCGAACCCGTGGCTGTTGCTCGCCGTCTCTCACTTCGCCGAGACGCCGCCGCAACGCTGACGTCGTGAAGACGGCGCATGAGCGCCCATCGGCGCGCGATTCGAAAGCGCGTGTTCGCTGAAATATTGCAAGGCGACAAAATTATATGTTTGTTGCATTTTTGCATTTCTTTTCTTTTGGAAATTCTCCTTGTTTAGATGTAAAATTGCTTTAGGCAACTGATAACTAATACTATAATTTTATCTCTGCCGTCTATTTTAACGGTGCAATTTGCATTATTCTATCTACAATTTGTTATTAAGCACGAAAAATATGTAAAGTGTCAAAATGCACACGTGTATAATAAACATAGAATATATATTATTTATGCATTTTTTATTCTAATGTGTATTTATTTTTTTTCAAATATTTTTTAAAATTTTATTATTATTATTAGGCACAGAGTTATAAATAAAATTCTGTCATATCAATCATTATTCGTTCAACCTGACCGTCGGTTTTGAAATACGAATCCGAAAAATGCCGAAAAGATAATAATATTTAAGTAGGAAATCATCAGTCTTAAAATTATTTTTCATAGCACACGGAAAAAGTTTATTTTAATTTTTTAAATCAATTATACTTGTTATCGCATGGCGCAAATTAATTCGAGATGACGATAATTGCAAGCACCTGCTAAACTAATACAAGTATCTACTAGTGTGTAAATTGCAGAGCAATGGACTAATATTAACTGTGATTACACAGAGAACGCATGAGTGGTAGGTTCAGGATTTGTAGAAGAACAAAACAAGACAATGTATATAAGAAACATGTGAGATTATATCTTATACATAAAGCGCACGAAAGAATTTATAAAAACAAATTTATAATGACAGAAGGAACCGACAAAGTGTACATGATAATATATACATCCTATTTAATATCTACCTTTATATTTATTGATATTTCATTGTCTATGTCAATAATTATTTTAATTTGATTCATCATTTCTTGGGTTAGAATAATATTCTGAATCATGAACAATGAAAAGGATAAAGCTCACATTATGCAAAAACTCGAATAATACTGAAGGTTCGTATTTTATAATATATATAATATATAATAATTGAAAATTGTATATCTTTACAATAAATAATAATAATAATAAAGATGGAATTATGTGCACAGGATCAAGTAAATTCATATTCCACAAGAAAATCATTGTTATTTTACGGAAAATAAAATAAAATGATATAAATAAATACGTATAATATAAAATATTTTGTGCTTGTTGCGTTATTAATTTCCAAATCCAGGGACCAACGATTGGTATATTTGTTCTTGATTATGATACGTGACGCCGATAAGGCTCATCGAAGTGTATTGAACGTGTTTAATCTAAAAACGCAATTTTATCTGTCTGATTTCGTAATATATTATTTCTCGCCGTCACAGACATTAGTGTGAACAAGCAAGCATCATGTACACATCACTTCATTAAGCTTTCTTCTGGGCTGTAATTAGGGCTATCTGCCGTCTAGAGTAACACGCACGTCGATAATGTTGACTTGCCGTCACCGGTTCGCTACGTAATGACTTAACCGCAGTAGAACGAAGCTCGATATTAAGAACCAGCTGGCAGGAATGGACGCCAGCATACAGTATCTTTCATCTGAAACATCAAAAAAATATATATGTTGCATAAAAGTTTATGTAAATAT